ACTGGAGAAAACCACAAAATACAAAGACCTGCAAATAGAAGTAGGACGACTGTGGCAAAAGAAAACAAAGATAGTACCAATAGGCACCTTGGGTGCAATCCCAAAACATCTGGAGCACCACTTGAAGACCATCAGCAGACAAAATGACCATCAGTCAATTGCAAAAGGCAGCTTTATTTGGGACAACTTACATCCTGTGATGATACCTTTAACCCCATCAAACAACAACATCTGCCTATCCAGGTCCTTGGGAAGGACTCAATAAGTGGATAAAAGTGCCAAATCCAGTCTAAACATCTTGCTGACTATGCGATCACCACCACCACCACCAATAATATAATACTTGTATGCCATCCAACTCTCAACAACTCTGGGCAGCTCACAACAATCAAACCAATTACAATCATGAAAATTACAATCAAGCATGAAAATGGCTTGAGCTTGAAGAAAAAAAGCTTTTCAATTCTAGGCTTAAAAAATCCTGAAGAGGCAAAACTCAACATGCTGCAAAACAGAGTGTTATTTGTGAAAATAATCAAGTTTTCTATGATGCCTTACAGCTTTTAACATTTCTCCTAAAAAGCAAAGAAACTCTTCTTTCAGAAGAAATGATCATCGCTTTTGATAAAGAGCGAAATGCATTTGGCGTAGAACTGTACAGGACATTCTGAACTCAAAACAATTCAAGCTTGAAATAGATGGAGTGGGTTATTTTGACCTCGCTGGAAGCATTCCAAGCTTTAAATGGCCTTGTTTCAAGCTCAGAATATTTTCAATAAGACTGATGTGTATTTATTACTCTTAAACATACAGTATACAATTATAGGGAAAAGCCTAACTGATGGGGCTAATTAGAATTGGAGATTTCAGAGAAAGAATTCCAAATGTATTGCTTATAGTGAGCAGAATATGGAAAACCTGAAGTCAAGAAAGCACTATGCAAAGAATTTCCAACAAGGAACAAAATTTCAGCATTCTGGAGAATATTCTAAATTTTTTCTTCTCTGTTTCCCCACAAACTATTTGACCCCATAATGTTCTGTGACATCTATCATCTTCACCTCCACCCCTACCACACAATTTATTTTTCACAGGAAAAAGAACAGAGGATATACATGCTCTTTCTTGCCTAATGTTATCCAGCACTGAAACTCTTGGTTCATAATTGTAATAACCGATTTTTTTTTATCTATCCCAGGCCCAAAATCAGAGATGTGAGCTATCCAACGTACCAAATGGTCTTACCTGTATGGCTAAGTTTTCCCCAGGTCACAGTACTCAGGTAATAGTTTAAAGCAGCACTGGGGTCCTGCTTGGTAACTGAATCCGAGACCAGGATGGTATTGTTCAAATCAATGTGCAAGACCAGCTTTCGTTTCTTAGGACTCAGGACTGCCCCAGAAAGAAATCTAGAGACAGTGGTGGTTCTCAAGGGCTCGCAGGTCATTTCTTCCTCTTCCATCCTTTGGGGAGACTGGGTGTGTTGCTCTTCCGCACAGCCGACCATCTTAACTTGCTCCCCAGGGCTTCTGGAGCTGTTCTCACAGCCGTCCATTCCAGAAAGAGAACTTTTCCTTTTCTTCATGTTGGTATTGTCGGAGATAGGTTTTGCATCTACCAGTCCCACTGTCACCTCAGCATGTAACAGCATCTGCTCAGGTTTTAAGGGACTGGTGCCTCTATTGGAAAAGTTATCTTCTGCTGTCCGGCAGTCAGAGAGATTTCTCTCCCTCAAATCCAGTGGGTCACTCTGGGCTGGGATAAATTAGAAAAGAGATGTTGCTCCCAGCTCAACTGTGGATGAAAATTATTAACACACTATCACAGCATCCTTATCTTATACAGTGTAGTGGTTTACAGTAGGAAAGAAAAGGGTATGGAGATGCTCACATAGCATCTGTTGGTATCTTCTTAAAGCAGCTGCATCTTTTCTTGGAATGGCATGGCTTCTCCAGCAACAGTAGCACAAATTTGGGAAAACATTCGCTGAATATAAGGAGTTACTGAAAGAGGTTATACACACCCCTATGTGCCAAAAAAACTGCTGCCTTCAAATCCAAAGCCCTGCATAGCCCTAATTTATATTCCTTGACTTGGGTCTTGAAAATCCAAACTCACTTAGCAGTGAGAGTTACCACATAGTTTTTTGGCAAACTGTAACTTCTCCACACAACTGAAATTTGGTCCATGAATTAAAACTGCGTTTGGTACTTAGACCAGTGTTTCTCAACCTTGGGAACTTTAAGATGTGTGGACCTCAACTCCCAGAATCCCCCAGCCAGGGAATTCTGGGAGTTGAAGTCCACACTGACTTAGACAAAAGCAAAAATATGGCAATAACCCATAGCAGTTCCAATACCCTCCACAATTATCCATGCTGGAGACTGAACCTGCAATCTTCCACAAAGATCATAGACTCTACCATACAGTTACTATTCTTTTTCTTTTATCTACACGCTTACTACTGGTTCCATCATCCTTCTCGTGAGATTAAGCTAAAGCACTATAGTTTAGCCAAGGCAGGAAGTACAGTTCCAGTTCCTGACATACCTTACTGACTAGAGCTAGAAATTTCCACTAAAGACCAGTCTTTGGCAAATGGATGCGCTCCAGCGGTGTTAGACTTCAGATTCTATGATCCTCACCCTATGTAAGTCACCGCTGTAAATATAGTGTAAGGCATTAACAGGGTGTGGATGTGGGAGCGGGGTTGTGTTCTAAAGAATTAGTCATTGCCAAATTCATGGAAATTAGAATCAGCTCTATTACTCATGACAATTTAATATGGAAGCTCAGCATTCATAGGACATCCTATGAATGACATAGTCCCTTCTCATGTGTATTTCTCATCACTGCCTACATCATCCTGCTTCTCATCTTCCCAAAGGAAAACCAAGTTAGCTGTACCTAAAGAATAAATCCTGGAATCGGTGGATCTCAAAAGATAACACCAGTGAGGTTTTTAACTTCCAGCTTTGACACAATATATAAGGATGAATCACATTCATAACTAAAAGTGAGATGGGACACCCCAATTATGTGCCAAAGATAAACAAAATTCTGCAGTCAGTAAAATGGTAATTAGCCTATCCAGTGGCACCAGTATAATGTAACCTTACATCAACTTGCCTTACTTAGCAAAAAAACTATAGCCTAAGCCTATGCAGAGAGCCACTTTGGTGTAGTGGTTAAGGCACCAGGCTTGAGTACAGGAGAACATGAGTTCTAGTCCCGCCTGAGGCACGAAGCCAGCGGGTGGACCTTGGGCCAGCCCCTCTCTCTCTGCCCTAGGAAGGAGGAGGAGGCCAGGGCAAACCACTTCCAAAAATCTTGCCAAGGGACTTCTCCAGGCACTCACCAAGAGTCGACAGTGACTCGAAGGCACGCGCGCACACACACGCACACATGCATACGATTACCCTAGGGTAACAACCACATGTCCCACTTCCGTGGGAACAAGGCTCTCTGAAGGCAGCGCGCGCATGTCTTGCATAAGGAGCATCGCGCCGCACGCTGCCAGCGAGGCTCACGAGGCAAAGCGCCAGCGGTGCCGCACGCGAGCCCCACGCGACGAACGACACGGGTTCTCCCTCCCGCTTCCCACTGGCCGATCTTAGCAAGGGATCTCGCCGTCATAACTTCTATGAATTTCTCACATTTGCACAGCACGAGAAACCCATGAGCTCGGGGTCCCCCTGCACAAAGCGGCAGGGCCAGCCTAATAGCTGCGTCTGCACAAGACGCTCAGTATGCGCACACACGCACCCCTTAAGTTATTTAAAACTAAGCTCGGCGGGTGGTGCAAACGCAACCTCTCCAAAAACCAAAAGAACAACAACGGGAAAAAAAAAACACATTCGGGGAGGAAAAGGCGACCACCAGATGATCTCGGTGCGCACGACCTCTCGCGTGCTCCTTCCACTTACGCGGGGAGGATCCTTGGGGTTCAGGTTCTGCTTTTGCTTGCTCCCTCTCTTTCCTACCCCAAAAGGAGCTGAGACCCAGCTCGCCGTCTGACCGGAGAAAGCGAGCCCCTGTTCCCGCATTTAACGTTGCCAAATTCCCGACGCCCGGCATCTCACTTCCTCTCCCAAGCTTTCTCAATGCACCAAAGTGATTCTTCCACCAACGCCTAGAAAGTCCCCTGGCGTTAGGCTTCCTGTTTCGAAGCCGACGAACGTGGCGCCCCCTGATGGCCGGAGGATGTTGGCTCGAGTCATTTTCTCTTCCACGTGGGTTGGCCAAAGACAAGTGCCCCGGGCTTCGTTTTCTCGTCCCTTTAGCAGGACTGAGGTTTGCGATTGCTGATGACGCTGCCCGGATAGCCGAAAGTGCAAAGGATTTGCAAGCTCTAGTAATAAAAGTCAAGGAGCACAGGAAAAAAATGGGACTAAAATTAAATATAAAGAAGATAATGTAATATAATGACAGCAGGTATAACAATTCAAGCCTTAGCATTGACAATGAAGATATTGAAGGGGCGGATAGATTCTACCTTTTAGGAGTGACCACCAACAGTAATGGAACAAGCAGTCAAGAAATATGACCCAGACTAGTACTTGGTAGAGGAGCCATGAAGGCCTTGGAAAAGATATTCAAATGCCGTGACGTGTCTATACTTACAAAGATCAAAATCATGCAAGCCATGGTATTCCCTGTGACATGCTATGGAAGCAAAAGTTGGACTCTGAAGGAGCAGGATAGGAAGAGTATCCATGCTTTTGAACTTTGGTGTTGGAAAAGACTCCTGAGAATACCATGGACAGCCAAGAAAACAAACAAATGGATCATCAAACCAATCAACCCAGAGTTCTCACTTGAGGCACAAATGACCAGGCTCAAATTACAGCCAAGAAAACAAACAAATGGATCATCAAACCAATCAACCCAGAGTTCTCACTTGAGGCACAAATGACCAGGCTCAAATTACAGCCAAGAAAACAAACAAATGGATCATCAAACCAATCAACCCAGAGTTCTCACTTGAGGCACAAATGACCAGGCTCAAATTATCCTACTTTGGACACATTACGCAAAGACCCAGCTTCTTCCCCTCTACTCTATGGGTGAGATCTCCCCCCCTCCCCAACATACACACATATCAGAAGGCCCCAGGTAAGATTTCCTTGCAGGCTCCCTGCTGTTTGGAGAGAGCCTTTTTATCTCATCCCCTGATCTTTTCCCCTCTTTGCTCTGACCTGTCCTGGCTAATTACCATCCCTGCACTGAGATTCCTAGCACCCAGCTTATTTCCTTGTTTTTTGTGGCACCTATCTGTTCACACCAACATTGCTCATTTCCTCAACTTTATTACAAACTTTGGGTTATACAAGAACACTTTGGGTCAAAGAGCCCCTTGCAAGTTGAAGATGAATATATCATGGATAAAATTCTAGCAGAAGTTATATCTTTGCGTACTTTCTCTTTTGGGAAGAAGAATCTAAGTTATAAATAAATAAATAAATAAATGTAAGGTGTTAAGATGAGGTGTGGTTTATTCTGTACCTTTACAATTTTCCTACCTCATTCTGTTTACACCAGCCCCGAGATACCCAAAAGAGCAAAGATTTGCACCCCACCATAGTGCACTGAGTTTGCAGAATTCCAAGGTACTGATGAAATTATGACACGTCCTGAAGGCACCAGTCAGAGAAAAGTAACTTAGCTCCAAGCTCTGTCAGTGGTGGAAAGAATCCATTGCTCCTTACTATCAGAGTAAGAAGTTGCACTGCTGCAAGCTTGTTACGATAAATCAGTCAGTTGGTGCAGTATAATGTACATAATGCACACATCAATCTTTAACGTGCAAATTAAGTGTGCTTTCTCAGCAACATGCTCCATTTGGATAATTTCTGGCAAGTACTACATTCCTGCTTTCACCAAACAATCTTCTGAAACATAAAGGAAAAAGAAGGCTCCCTGGGCTCATGTTTTCTGTAAGTCTTTATTTAAAACCTGCTCATCATATGAGTTTTCAGGTGTCCAGTAAGGAAATCAATATAAAAGCTTCATAAAAAGTATAACCAAACCAATAAAACGAAGTAGACTAAAACAGCACCCAGGGAGAGGCTGTAGCAGAGTGATAGTTTTGCACACCAAAGGAACTAAAGGAAAGTCTATTTCATCTGGGCTATAAAACTATTAAATGGCAGCAAAAAGTTAGCATTTTCTGTATCTCTTTTCTGCCATCTAACAGTCCTCCAGATTTATACAGGCCAGTGGTAGTGCTCATCCTCAAAACCCCAAAAATCAGAGTTAGAAGCTGCACTACTGCAAGCTTGTTACGATAAATCAATCAGTTGGTGCAGTATAATGTCCATAATACACACATCAATATTTAACATGCAAATTAAGTGTGCATGTTGACCAATAGACCATCTTTCCCCAACCTGACATACTCTGGATCTGTTGAATCAGAAAGCTAGCTAGGAATTCTCAGTGTAGTCCAGCATCATTTTAATCCACCATATAACCTGGAGCAGTGTTTCTCAGCCTTGGGGACTTTAAGATGTGTGGACTTCAACTCCCAGAATCCCCCCACCCCCCCCGCCGGGTTGGGGGGGGGTGGGGGGA